ACCAAAGTCAAGAATCAGCTGTCCAACTGACTGAGCCACCCAGGTGCCCCTAGAATGCTATTTTTAAACTTAGGACACATGGTCCCTTAATCAGTCTCCCTGTCTTCATTGGTGACCTAACAATCCTTCCTCTATTAAGCAACCAGAGATATTATTTTAAATGTGTAGTTTTAATTCCCTACATGCCTTCTTATTGCACTCAACATAAAACCTCAGCTCCATCTTCTTAAAAATCCTATACAATCTGGTCTCTGCTTAGTCTCTCCACTTAGCATGCCCTTTCCCAAACTTTTCATGGCAAATCTTTTCTTGTTATTCATATTTCGCATCATTGCTTCCTCAGAGAAAGGTTTGGCTGCATACATAATCTGTCCCACCCTGCCCTGTTTTAATATGCTATACAGCACTTCTTACCATCTCCCCCTTCAGTATATCACAAGCTCCTTGTGAATAGAAACTAAAAAGTAGCCCTTTGAATTCATTACTACAAGTAGTCTGGCATCTGGACAATTCTGAGAAGGTCCTCAGTATGTATTTGTTAAGTGAATGAATGAATGAATGAATGGATATTCTACTACCATTGAGCTATTTTGTCATATGCCCAACACTTTTCACCCTTATTTCTTTCCTTTTTTTTTTCCTTTTTTAATGGCTGATTATCTGATGTAAACTTACCAAATTCTCTTAAAGTTAGCCCAGAGTTTTAAGTGGATTCACCAGGACCAGAAGTCATGACTGGTTGCTGGTTGAAGCCACACTTGCATGTAAACCAATAAGTTCTTGTAAAATGACATGTCTTAGTGCAAATTTGATTGACATTTGTATTGACTGCCAAAGGGAACTTGTCATCACATCCCACCATGGTACCATGAAACTGCTGGCAACCTAAAATTCTTAGTAGGATGACTGGCTCAATGCCCTGCAAATAGCACCACTGTTGGTAGACATCTTCTCGTGGATGCTTATTGATGACATAATAGTTGAAAATCCTTGGCAATTGTTTTGAGGGCTCTCTCTCCTTGCACATGCCATCTTGGATTAATTTATATTATAGTGGATTCACTGGTAGCCTGGTTTCTTCCCACAGATGTAGAGCCTGCCCTGCATGATGACAAGTAGAGCCACTGCAAAGAGGCTTTTCTCACAGAGAGACTGAACTCAAGGTTAGCCCAATCAGTTTATTTGTTTGTTTGTTTAGATAAGGAGGGGAGAGGACAAAGAGAGGGAGAGAAAGAATCTTAAGCAGTCTCTATGCCCATCAGGTAGCTCCATGCTGGGCTTGATGTCACAACCCTGAGTCATGACCTGATCTGAAATCAAGAGTCCAGATCTTAGCCAATTGAGCCATGCAGGTACCCCAGCCCAACTAGTTTTGGTTCCAGTTTTAACAACATCATTCTGATTCAAACAAGCCCTAATAATCTGTGTGCCAAAGTTGTATATTTCTCTAAAGTAGCATTAATATGACTGCTATATATACCAAATGAATGCTGTAAGGAAACATAAAGTGATGAGAATGAAAGTTTTATGAAATAAAAAATAACTACAATCAGTTATTACTAAAGTGAAATGTTATTTTACTTCTCCAAAAGGTAAAACTTGTGATACTACTTTCAGCTGTGAGATCTGTGGTTGCAGTTCGATGCAATGAATATCTATCAAGCATCTACAGCAGGCAAGGCCTTGTGTGTTATGGAAAATTGGAAGAGCTGAAAAAACACAATAATGTAGAATAGTAAATAGTAAATGTAGTAGAATAGAAAATAGACTTTAAGACAAATAGATAGAAAGTGAGTTATTTAGTTTTCAGGGGGGGGCAAAAAGGCTGAGTTCAAGTACATTGTATAGAGATTGTCTTGTTTTCAGAGAGGAATAATATAGAGGCAATATTTCGTCTGACATTTAGTTGACAAAAAGGAAAACCTTACTGATTCTAAGAAATAATTTCTATGGAAACTTGCCTTCTCTTCTTGAAAAGTGTAAAGGGCCTTACTAAAATGGTTAACAGTCCTGTCTGTTAACAGGGAGCCATGGAGGGTCAAAAATCTCATGATAAATTCGAGAACTATCATGGTTTTTACTCCTACTCCTACTCCTACTCCTACTCCTACAGAGTATGAGTATAGTTGTAGCAGCTCATGACTTTAACTCATTCTCCTGATCATATATCAACCATAATGTCAAATAAAAATAACGGTAAAGCTTTCAATAGGCTCACTGAATGCTACTTTGATAAGACCTACCTCTGAACTTCCAGGGAGACTTAAAAAAACAAAACAAAACAGAACAAAAAAAAAAGAGTTTGAAAAGGGAGTTAGGACCCAAGAAATACACACAGCCTCCCGTGCTTATAAACCTGGGGAAATGAGAGTCATGGGGAAAGGAAGCATAATTTTGAAGCAATTCCAGTTACCTGGAAACAAGTTTTGAACTGATTTCTATATTTACAGAGGACAAAATCAGACATATCACTTGGAATGGATAGGCAGGCAATTTTTTCCTAATAGATCACACAAGGGAAGAAGCTGGTGATCTCCACATTCCTGGCATTGACCTATAGAGTGCTGGGGAAGAAGAGCAGATTGCCTGCAGTGAATGCAATTGAACTTGTGGTTCTCAGTGGGAGGGTGTTTGTAAATTTGCAGGAATGTTTTTAATAGTCTCAAGGAAGGCTGTTAACCGGACTTCTGTGGACAGGAAGCAGAAGTGCTAGATGTCCTGAAATGATCAAGAAATCTCCAAACAGAAAAACTGTCCCATATACTTTCATGATGTCACACCAGTATAGCTCCACCATAAATATAACTGCAACTTCTTTACCACATAATAACATTGAAACACTTTTTTCAAGTTAGGTAAAATAGTTCGGAAGAAAGTTGTCACAAAGAAGAATTACAAGTTACTCAATAATTTACTTTTTCTGCCCATAGAGTCTATTTAATACACTATGTATTTCCAACTACCTATCTAATTTTAGAGGGTTCCAGTGCAAGAATTTAATTTTTGACATGGCAAATACGAGACACACACAAAAAAATATTTAAGACTTAGTGTCTTATGCACTGAATTATAGAGAAATGCAACTATTGGAGAAACTGAGGAAAGACTGTGTTTTGTTTTGTTTGGGATTTTCTAAGAGTTTTCTAAAGGTACGTCACTACCAGCAATGTCACTCAGGGTGTTTAAACTGCTAATAAAACACCCTGTTTTAGTCTTTTTTCTTTATTTTCTTTTTTAAAAGATTTTATTTATTTATTTTATTTGAGAGAGAAAAAGAGAGAGAGAGAGGGTGCATGTGCATGGGGGAGAAATACAGAGGGAGAGGGAGAAAATATGAACCAGACTCTGTGCTGAGTGCAGAGCCTGAGGTGGAGTTCAATCTTGGTGGAGTTCGATCTTATGAGCCTGAAACCATGACCTGACCCGATACCAAGAGTCAGATGTTCAACTGACTGAGCCACCCAGATGCCCCTCACCCTGGATCAGTCTTTACTTATGGCTGCACATCTGAATACACATAATAACAGTGACAATTTGACACTCTTATGAATAGACTTAGATACAGAGTCTAAATTAGCAGACATCTGAAACAGTGATGTCAAGAAAGTGGCATTAAGTGTTTTGAAAATATTTTTATTGCTCTTCTCTATACTTTTCATCTTCAAAATATACAAAAGAGATCTCTGCTGTGAATATGACACACTAGAGTGCATTCCTTTGTAGCTTGCCCTTCTCACACTGATACTACCCCACAACTGTTTGCCAATCTATCCTCTTTAGCCTACTGCTAATTATGGAATATTATCTCTGTGTTCCCTTTATGTCTCAGAAACTAAATGTATACCTCACTACATGGAAGACTGTTGAATCTAGAAATGTTAAATAGTGTCACTTCCTAGTTGTATTTCATAATAAAAATAATTATTTTGACACCACACAATAATTTCTAGCTCATTTGCAAGAATATTATATTTTCCTCATTTTCCCTCATCCACAGCCTATTATTTTTCTTGGAGTGTTCTCTTTACTTTAATTAAGGTTATTTTCCTCTTTCTCCCATAATATGCAAATACATCCCATGTCTTATTATTATAACGTTAGGTTTCATTCAAGGGTCCACTTGTACTTATGCTTGCCCAGTTATTTTATTCATGCCTTCATTTACTTTTATATTTGTATGGAAGAACTACCAATTCCTTTACTTCTTGTAAACTCTAACTTGTTCATTTTAATTATTTGTCGTAAGGAGGCAATTTCATTACGACTTGCAGAAGAACTGGATCTGAAAAAACACATAAGGAATCAGTATGATTTTATTTTTTTAAAGATTTTATTTATTTATTCATGAAAGATATGCAGAGAGAGGCAGAGACAGAGGTATAGGGAGAAGTAGGCTCCTTGAGGAAGCCCAATGCAGGACTCCATCCCAGGACCCTGGGATCACACCCTGAGCCGAAGGCAGATGCTCAACTACTGAGCCATATGATTGTCTTTTTTTTTCCCCATATGATTGTCTTATAATTTTTTTTCTTTCATCTTGTTCTTATATCAGAGTTAAGACATTATCTCAACTTAGAAAACCAATATTTGGGTTATTTTATGCTCGAGTTTCAATTTGAGGTATTAAAGAGGGCAGCACATAATGCTTCTATGAAAAGGGAATGGTGTCTGACAGGGTTGAGAACATTGCACTAGATAATGTCTCAAAGTCTTGTCTTCTCTAAATTCCTCAGACTCCTTTGTTTCTATAATCTCACTAAGGATGGTAAATGGTCCTGTCTCCCAACATAGTCAAAATTCCATTCACAGAAACTTATATTAAGTTGAACCCAACTCTTTTAGTAGTGTACGTCTTTATTTGGCACTTAGAAAGAGAATCATTTTTCTCTATTACTATTTCATTGAATTGAGAAGACCATGACAAATCAAGAGATGCAAACACTAGTTCTCTGGACATGACTATTCTCACACACACACACTGCAATGTGCATTCTTCTTACCTAGCTTGACCAGGCGGAGCATGGAGGTATTGCTTCCTCGTTCCGTGCAAGCAGTTACGGAGAGGTTGTAGATATCTCCTGGAGGCAGGCTGAGAATTGCAGTCATGACATTGCGTGTGACCTGCAAGATCCATCAAAATCAAGAGTGCAAACTTCTAATGAACTTGAACTAGAATACCACTACAAACAACTACAGGTTTGTAGCAGGCGTTCACCCTCTGTTCTGTGCAATCAATCTACAGTTGATTACAACTTTACAGATACTTTATTTCCTTTGAAATTTATATAAATTCCTCAACTGACCTAAACACAAGGTAGCTCTATACATGAATAATACATATCAGAACATTTTTATAATGAATTCTCTACTTGGAATATGTATTACTCTTATATTTTTTCTTATATTCACAAGTTTTAGAAGAGGCAATTTGCTAGGTTGCTATTGATGTGTACATTACTCAGCCCTTGCTGGGAAGCTCAGAAGAGCCATCTGGCTATAGTCTACTAAAGACTAAATTTCCCAGTCTCCCTTATAGCTAGAAGGGACCATCTGACCCAGCTCTGACCAACTGATTGGGAGTGGAAGGCATCTTATAATTCTGTCCACACTCTGTAAGTGCTAGGCTTCCACATCTTCTCCTTTCCTCTCCCCACAGGCTAGAATATGGACATACTGACTGAAGGTTCACCTATGCAAATAAAGACTATACAGTAGTAGATGAAGCAACAAAATAGAATCTGAACCCCTGGATGGTTGACCTTTACAGCAGAGATACCTGTGTCAGCATGAGATTAACAAATTTCTATTTTCTATGAGCCCAATCTTTGGTGTTTCCTTTTTTTTTTTAAAGTAATTTAGTCTGTTCCCTAACTAATGCAAAGTCAAAGAGTGTAATAGAGCAAAAGAAAAGAAATCAACATTCCCAATGTACCCAAATATTTAGGCATTGGTGATATATAGAGAAAATATCAAAACATTAATTGTGGTTTTCTTGACAATGTTTCACATCCTGAAGAAAAAGCTCAAATCATAACTTCAAATATAAATGAATTTACTAGTTATAACTATTATAGCTCACTATTAAAGATTAAAAGGTAAACTCTATTAAAGGAAGAATTCAATTTTTCTTCACTGTCCTCTCACCGGAGCCTAAAACAGTGCCAACCGGCATTAGATTTTTGTTTAATGTTTCAATGAATGTTTGTTTAATGGTTTTCAATAGTTTATGTAAATGAGTGTTCAGATGCCCAATATTGGGATTCAAAGAAACATACGCTCTTTTTAATTTTCTTCTTTCCTTCTGCAACAACCATCCAGTGTAGCATTCTAGAATGGGAGAGGTCAGTTGTGTCATCACCGTATGTCCAACTGATATATAACAGACTGTTGAAATACTCCACAGATGTGATTTCTGGAGCAACTGGGGCTACACAGAAAGAAAGAGGTGGACTTTAGTTTAAGAGACTAATAATAACTAACGTACCTCTCATCAGAGCATCCAATCTCATGCAGAGTTAATTTAGAGAATTAAAATTCACACTGTATGATGGTCCTGGAGATCCCTGGACCTCTGTAATACAGTGAAGATTGGTGGTAAAGGCAGGCACTTGTTTCCTGGGACCCCACCTTGTATGGCTCAGACACAAGGCAGCCAGACCCATCTCTACCTGAGGATATTGGGTCTTTTATACCAATTTCACAGGTACAAGATTCCTGAAATGTTCACTTCTTTGAATATGCTTGTTGCATCGATAATATAAAGCATGGCTGAACTTATTTTCCAAGCAGTACTGGAAAATTTGGGGTCCTGTAAAAGTAAATTTTTTATTGTGACGCAGCAAAGGTGCTTATGGAAGTAAAGGACAGTAGGGTCAACAATTATAGGGACAGAATATAATTATTGTTCTTATAAAATAACAAGACAATGTCATTGATCGTGTCTAACCAGTGCTTTGCAAAAGATGGGCTCTTAATAAATGTTGCTGAAGCAAGTAGTAAGGGAACACAGGAAGGGCTCTTTGTTAAATTCTAAGACTGAGTTTATTAATTTTTAAAATATTCTTACACATTTAAATTTAAATTATTTCTAGTGGAAAGGAGAATTCATTACAAGCTTTATAATACATGAGCTCTGAAAGCATATTTAATTATTTTTTAAACTAACCAATAATTCTGAAGATTTTAGGAAACACATACACAAGGAAATTTAAAGTCCATGTGTATGTTAGTTTGAAGACAAGCTGGTGATCCATTCTGAGAGCACAAAACCAGTTGAAATATTTGGAGGAGAATTTCTATAAACCATGAAGATTCATTTTCCCAATATGCTACTGGTACTCATAACAAGCAATCATAACTATACTTTCAAGAACAATTATTCTCTGAAGAGATCTGTAATATATACAGTAAAAAACATTTCTGTTTTGGGGCACCTGGGTGCCTCAGTTGGTTAAGGGTCTGCCTTCAGCTCAGGTCATGATCCCAGGGTCCTGGAATCAAGTCCCACATCAGGCTCCCTACTTAGTGGGGAATCTGCTTCTCCTTCTTCCTTTACCTTCCCCCCTGCTTGTGCTTGCTCTCTCTCTCTCTCTCTCTGTCTATCAAATAAAATCTTTTAAAAACTGTATTTCATGTGAAATTATAGTAGTATTTATATATATGGTTGACAATAAAACCTTGAAATACCAGCAATGTATCTAGCAAGTAACACAAATCCACATCATATTTCAGAATTATCTAATAAAGAGAATAATACCTTTGGCTTCCTTTATATTTCTGTATACTTCTTTATATGTATGTATCTATTCTTATAATTCTTCAAAAGGATATTTTCTTATGTTTTAATTCAGTAAGGACAAGAAATGTATTTAAAATTGCAGGGGTGTATTTTTATTTAAAACCCAGAAGTGTATGGCTCCTTCCTCACATGTATTAACCAAGTCTAGATTTTTATACTCCGTATTTCTGCTTTAAAATCCAGCATGTTGCTGAAAGGCCACAAGATGTCACTATTTGTTTATTAAACATTATTTGGTATACAAGCATAATGACTATGCATTTGACTTGCAGACAAAGTTGCCTAACAAAGACGGTGGACCGGAGATCCTAATAAATCACACCTTACTCAGATTTTTTTCCCCTATATTCTTTTATTTCACACAATTTGGCATTAGGCTCACAGCTAAAAGCAGAGGTAAGAGAAACATGATATCCTTGTTTGCTTTAAACTTGAAATGAGGGAAGAAAAACAAAACAAGGCAAGGCTAAAATTTCAACTGGTTTTTAAAAATAAGTATAAAAATAAAAGTCAGCTACCATATATTTTTTAATAATGATTAATGTTACATAATTTAATTTTCATACTACCTGTGAAATAGTATTGTACTCTTTTTATAGATGTGAGACTTGAGACTGTGTTAATATGCTTAGCTGAGACAGTGAACTGCTAGTGTTGACACGACTTAGTTGATTATCTCAGGCAAAGATAAGGAATTCCCAAAGATCAATTTATTGGAGACAATAGATTGCTCACCTCGGCAAGTAGCTCACTTATTAACCTTATGGCTATTCAGATTTGCCAGGCCCATCACCCCTCTTGCCACAACCCAGTAAGTTTCCAGCTTTGAAAGGCACACCCAAGCCACTTGAGTCCAGAACCCTAAATCCTGTTAATTTTTCATTTCTGATGTTCCCCTCAGAGACACTGCAAAGAGCCTATTGAGGCAGTTTTCTGCCTTATTGCAATGAGTTCTATTACACTTGCTTTTGCTCTGTTAGCCAGTTGTTAGGTAGCATTTTGAATTCTGCCAATGAGAAAAAAGAAGTCCAGGATCATTTGAGATGATTTGCTTAAAGCTCGACAGCTAGAATTTTGCAGAGCCAGGTCTGCTCAGTGAAGTGTTCAGATGCAAAGTCTGGGCTTTTCCAAGACATCTGCTCTGTCTGAGAAGAAAGAGTGTTCTCAGAGAAGCAATGTCAATAAAGTTAAGCTGTATGAATTATTTACTCCATAAAATTTAATTAAAATTAAACATGCAATTATTTACACAGTCAAGAAGCTAATACAGTACTAATGACATAATTGGTATTTTCTACCTTTTTGGTACTTTTTTCACTTTTTTATTCTAGTATTATTGTTAACATTTGGAACACAGAGAGCTCTTAGACATTGTCTCGTAAGGGAAGGAGATGAACTACATACATCGGTAGTGTAAGAATTCACATGATGAATTTTTTTTTAAAGATTTTATTTTTAAGTATTCTCTACACCCACTGTAGTGCTTGAACTCACAACCCCAAGATCAAGAGTTGCATGCTCTACTGACTGAGCCAGCCAGGCACCTCCACATGATTAATTTCTTTTCTTTTTCTTTCTTTGATAAAGCTTGATAGAGTAAAACTAGATGACCCTGGAAGAAAATATTTTGTTAACATTATTTTGCTAACATTTCTTCTCTCAGCATAACACTAAGTATAGCCTTGCAGTCCAACCAAAAGTTCCAGAAGAATTTTCATTCAAATAAGGTTCAAAAGGGTTAGTGTTTCTCTGATGAATTTCCCCTTTTCATTGTCATCTCTGACCACCTCTGCTATCTCTGCTGTATGATAATGAACTAACTGTTGTTTAAGTACTTAAACTTTGTGCCAATATTTCAATGTATTTTTTTAGGGGGAGAGGGCCAGAGGAAGAGGGAGAGAAAGACTCTTAAGCAGCCTCCATGCCCAGAGTGGAGCCCAACTCCGGGCTCTATTTCACAACCCTGAAATCATGACCTGAACCAAAATCAAGAGTGGGATGCTGTGGCACCTGGGTGGCTCAGAGGATGAATGTCTGCCTTTGGCTCAGGTCATGATGCTGGGGTCCTGAGACAGAGTTCTGCATCAGGCTTCTCGCAGGGAACCTGCTTCTCCCTCTACCTATGCCTCTGCTTTTTCTCTGTGTCTCTCATATAATAATAAATAAATAAAAATCTTAAAACAAACAAACAAACAAACAAACAGTGGGTTGCCTAACCAACTGAGCCACTCAGGTGTCTCCTAAGTAATGTATTTAAATGGAAAAAAATAACAGATACTATCACCATAACCATTTTACACTTAAAAAAATTGAGGCTTTGAAAAGTTAACATGCACAGGTTACACAGCATAGGTGGCAGATCCGTGATTCAAACCCACCTGTCTCCAAAGCCTATTTTAACTCCCACAATGGACAACACTGCCATCAGCCTGTGACTTTAAAAATGGTTTAATTAATAAGGAGATGGAGACACTCTAGCAAATATAATCATCGAATGGGTATAATCAATTCATGTCAGTGTGAAGCTGAAAGCTCTGTCAGCTACAACTCTGTTCTAATCAATTCCAAACAGGAGCACACAATAGAGGACAATAACTCAGGATTAAAAACATATTTTAATTTTTAAAGACTATCATTTAAACAAATAATGAGTTTTCAGAATCAAGCATACTGCCATCCATGAAACTGACGCTCCGTCACTACTGGGTGAACAACCAGCACTTTCTGGAGATGTATCTCTTTAGAAACTCTTCAAAATAGTGTTCCCTCCCCATGGGGGCAGTTCCCGCACACCACTCACCTGTTATGAAGCTGATGGTGGAGCTGTCACAACAGCTCAATTCCGGGTCTCCCCATGTTACCATGGTAACTCGGAAGTTGTAGTACCACGCTGGCAACAGATTGGCTATCCTCTGAAAAGATCAAGGAGACAAAAGACTAAGGGGAGGAAAATCATATTTTTGGAATAGAGTTATTTTTATTAGGTCATGAAAATAATAAGTATTTTTTATCTATGTTTCTGTGCCTTTTTCTCTTTTCCAATTTTTTTTCATTAAAAATTCTTTCTGCACTGAGGTAAGGTGTAAATAGAATGGTATACAAACATAATTTTTAAAAAGTGGTTCACAGGTACAGAGTCAAATATTTCCAATACTGGCTTCGTTTGCAGTTTCCTAAGCTGTATTACACAGTGAAACAGTCCTTATTTGTCAGTGATTGTACGTATGCATCCCCCTATTTCTAAGAAAACCGACCTCTCCCAACTCTATTCTCCCAGTTTGGACCGTAAGCATGCGTCCTTGTTGGGTGGCAAAGATCAGAGTCGTCCGCTGGGTATAGGGCAGCTGTGTACTTCATGTGTGACCTGTAGGAAACTGCACTTTAGAAGCCAGTCCCAGAAAAAGCAATCTTTGACTTGCTCTCCTGAAGAGGAGCCTGTCACGGCCTGACATTAGAGGTATTCAACAGATGCATGGATGTTAAGAATACTCATCATTAGCGTTAAACAGTGTCAACTAATTATTGAATGACTAAAGGAAATTTTTTGTGTTTTCCTCCTCAGGAAGCAGAGAGAAACAATGAGCATTTGATAGCTCTCCTAAAATGTGGCTGTGTGCAATTAGGGGTGAAAACATGTTTCACATATTTTTTTTCTCTTTCTCTCTCAACCTCTCTCAAAGACAAAATGAGTCCAGAAAACAAAAATGACTAAAAAACAAACAAACAAACAAAAAAAACCACACCAAACTCTTGAAAGTAGCAAGCCACTCGTGTATTTACAGGTAAATTTTTCTGATACGGAAAGTTTCATCTGTTCGCACAGGGAAGTGTGACAGCTTCTTACCACTGAGGCAGTCAAGGAGACAGTTGCTGCGATTTCATAGTACGTTGTCCACTCTGATGTCATGGTAGCAGGGTTGAAATAAAACATTTCAACTACATATTTTCTGAACACTCCTAAGTAAGGTCTGCTCCAGCTGAGAACCACTGCCGTAGGACCCAAGGGATAGAGCATTAAATCCTTTATCCCCGTTGGAACTTAAGAAGAAGTGGGGCGGGATGAAAAAAGAGAGAGCCAAGAAGGAATATTTAATAACTTAGCAACAGTTTCAAACTTAATAACTAGGGTTTTTGCTCTTCTGATATGGTCACTGAATAAATCATATTTTCCCTGAGTCATTGATGTTAACGATATTCCCCAGGTATACAACTATAGTCACTTATTACTCTGAATGTAGAATATTGGGTGAGTATGGGTCCCCCCCATTTATGATGATAATGATTTGGGCGTAGGCATTGAACCCCCAAGCCGCAAAAACAAACAAACAAACAAACAAACAACAAAACAGTACTCTGATAGTTATTCTTGAGGCTGGCAACTTACCAATAGCAAATGTCACAGGATCTGAAGGTGGTCCAATCAAAGGGCCTTTTCTTAGGTACATCACGACCTGGTACTGGGCACCGGGAACCAGATTTTCAATAATAGATTTGCTTGAGTTCACCTTTAAACCAAACACCCGATATGATTTATATAGAGCTGGGCTTTCATAACGTGACACAAAGGCTGATATCATATTCAGGGACTCTTTGTGGATGCCTTTGAAATCCAGAAGCCTTTGCTTGTTCTGGGGAAGGTCAGATTTCAAAATTAGGATGATTTATAGTTTATGTGAACACTGAGGGGAACCCAGAACATTCAAATTCTATGGCTGGATTTAATAAGCCCCGCGAACTGCTTTATACCCATCAATGTCAATTTCAACTATGTACACTAGAGACACATCAGCCTCTAACCATAATCAAATCAGCAATACCATAAGGGGAGTCTGACATCCTAAACTGTGGTGTCAGCTAAAAACATACAAAGATCAGTACAGGAATGTCTTTAGTCTCTCGTCACTTAGAAGCATAAAATATCTAATTATAGAGATGGAAATGACCTCAGAGATTATCTGCTCCAAATCTCTCATTTAATAGATCAAGAAAGTAAAGCCAGGAAATGGCCAAGGTCACATATTTAGATTCAGCGCTGGGACTGGAAGCCTAGTATTGTGACCTCTAACGCCTGTTCCGGGCAAGTCACGGGACTCAGCACGGAGTACATTGATAAGTGCTTCTCAAGGCTATTGTGACCCTATAAAATAATGTTGAAGAAAATATTTCTCCTTTAGATGAGCTCTCTTTTGCTGTTCTTTTAAAGAAAAAAAAACTTTTGTTTTGGTAACAAATACAATATAGAGAAAGACAGAACAGATAGATGAATGAAATGTACTTATTAAAGTTTAAAATGTTGGTGTGCACTAGGATTGATACTTCAGCTTACAGGTCAAGAAGTGTGTGACTTTGACCTTTAGTACCTCTAATATTTAAGAAAGTCTTGCTTAGTAGGAAGAACACAGGCTCTCTCTCTATTCAGACTGCCTGAAATCAAATCCTGCCTCTACTCTTTTGTAAGCATGAAAGTTTATTTATAATTTATTTACAATTCTTACCTTGGTTTCCTGATTGATAAACTATAGATAATACTATGATATATACCTCCCAGAGGATGCTTAAACTAGAGTACCAATAGAGGTAACTCATTACTCAGCAATTTTTTGGCTTCTAGGGTACATAACATATAATTTGCTGTGGAAAGGAGCATAAATCAATGAAGAACAGTATCGTTGACAGCTTACCTATGCTATAAGGTTTTTTTTTTTTAATTCGGCTTCATTGTGATTTTAAGAATAAACACAGAATTGATATGATATGAATTTTAAAATCTTCTGATACTGGAAACTGATTCTACACAATAAAAATTGTATAATTTGAATTGGTAGAACTTGCTCTAAAAGTTAAGTAGGGAGACAAGCATATCATAATTTCTTTTCCAATAACTTAAGCAAAATAAAATTAAGTTGAATGAATACATTAGCATTTCCCTCCTTTCTTTCCTATTTATACTCCTGTAAGAATTTTTTACCCATGTTTTCAAATGTGAATTCTGCTGACAGTCATCTAGGCAGAGTTAGCCAACTAGAAATCTGATAGAGCTTTTCTCAAAGAGACAAACCATAAACAAGACGTGTATGTTGCACAAAACTAAGTAATGCTGTCTTACTTCTTTAAAATAAATTTTTAAATGATAAAACTAGTAAATGTTCATTGTGGAAATTATTTGCACAGTAGAAGAGCAAATGAAGTAAACTGGCAATTTTTTGGTCTTCCTCCCCTCATTTCCAACCTTTTGGTAGGCAATCTGCAGACCCTCCTCAATACATAAATAACATTATATTGACCCATATAGGTGTTAATTATTAACTTGCTCCAAACTTTTCTTTAAAACCTAACAGCACATCATAGACATCTAGGCAGGCATACCTCTGAATGCTAACATAGCTCATTAATCACTCATTTAGAATGTTTAGCATAGCAGGACAAAAAAAGTGTAGACTGTTTCAGGGTGGTAAAGTTTCTTTGGTTTGATAATATTTTAAGCAAGTGGTTGATTCTGATTATTCAAATGACTACATGAAATCGTAGCCACTTAAATATACCATCATATTTAATACCCTGAGGATATCATGCTAGTGAAATCAGTTGGAGAAAGACAAATATTGTATGATTTCACTGTGTGGAAACAAAAAAAGCAAATCAAATGAGCAAGCAAAACAAAACAAAACAAAACTCTTAGGTACAGTGAACAGAATGGTGGTTGCCAGAGGGGAGGGGAGTGGGAGGTGGATGACAGAGGGAAGTGGTCAAGAGGGTCAAGAGGTACAAAGTTACACTTATAAAATAAACAAGTCATAGCAATGTAACCTACGCTATGGTGACTGCAGTCAGTAATATTGTGTTGCATATTTGAAAATTGCTAAGAGAATAAATCTTAAAATTTCTCATCATTAGAAAAAAATTTTGTAACATTGTACAGTGATGGATGGCAACTAGGTTGATTGTGATGATCATTTCCCAATGCATGCAACTATTGAATCATTATGTTATACACCTGAAACTAATATAATGTTATACATCAATTACACCTTGATAAATAAAACATGCCATCTTAATAAATTCATCCTAGGGACATTATACTTCTTTTTAAGATGATTTTATTAATTTATTTGAGAGAGAAAGAGAGAGAGCATGAGCGGGGTGAGGGGCAGAGGGAGAGGGACAAACAGACTCCCCACTGAATACAGAGCGATTGTCTTGACCTAGGGCTTGAGGAGGAGCTAAAGGTGGGGCTCCTAGCAGGCTCCATAGAGTATTCAACCCCAGGACCTTGAGATTAAGACCTCAACTGAAGTCAGATGCTGACTAAGCCACCCAGCACCCCTATTTTTTTTTCATAAAGAAGCAACTATGTGTATATACATCACACTATTTTAAAAAATTACCTTGGTAACAAATAATAAACCCTAATTCCTTCCTGCTGTCTTGTTTTTGAATATTTACTGAACCACCAGCCTGTATCTGAGCTTCCATCCCTCCATACCCTAGTATTTATCCTGGATCACCTTTGGGTAGGTAAGGCAGGCAAGAGAAATGCCCCTGAATTCTCCCTCCTAAATAACACATATTTTATTCTCCAGAGGAGAATCATTCCACACCTTCTCCCCCAATTTTTATCCCTCCTTTGTATTCCACTATTTCCTCTCTCTCATTCCCAACTGGCTCCATCGCCATTCCAGAGAATTTAGTTCAGCCCAACACCCCTCTGATGAGGCACCAGTCCTGTTCCTCCCCAGCTAAAGAAATAGGAGGAAAGATGTCTTAGAGAGCATAGGAAATACATGACAGACTTAAATAACTGGGTATGTACATTGTCAGAAAACACTCGGGGACCAAGGCAGATCACATGTGAAAATAAATATACATTCATATATGATGTTTTTTAATCCTGAAATTTATGATTGTGTGTGAGACTTTGGAGAAAGTACTGAAAGCACATTTACTTTGAAGAATTGACCGGATCCTTTATGTATATAACACTTATAGAGCACAGACTTCATGTTCAACATATATTTATTAATGAAGAGCACTGAAATGGTTAGGAGGCATACATCACAAAACATCCTTTTCTATGAATATTTGCATGCAAACTCATACCCAAAACAACAACCAGATGTGAAGAGCATATACATGATGAGGAAAAATTCAAATTAATGGGTACAATGTACCTACTTGGAAGGTCAGACTCTAAGCTTCATAAACTTAAGGTTCAAGTCAAATCTGTTTTATTTCTAGGATCTTATGCAGGACCCGCCTAGCACACAGAAATCAGTGGTAGTGTAAAGAAGAGTAGAAGCACTAGCCGCGAGTCTCATGGATGATGTATCTAATGTATAAAGCAACGATCCTGTGGTATAGTCACTGGTAGAAGCAAAGTAGGGCAAGTGAAAGTATAAAATAGTGAAACATTATATTAACTGTTAATACCATAGTGTCCCCTTATCTGCAAGGGATATGTTGTTCTGAGACTCCCCCCAATGGATGTCTGAAACCATGGGTAGTACTGAACCCTATACGTATTATGTCCTTTCCTATACATGCACATATACTTGCTGTAAAGTTTAATTTATAAATTAGGCATAGTAAGAGATTAACAATAACCAATAATAAAAAGGATTACAACCATATGCTATAATAAAAGTTATGTAAATGTAGTCTCTCTCAAAATATCTCATTGTACTGTATTCACCTTTCTTATGATGTTGTGAGATGATAAAATGTCTACATGATGAGATGAATTGGGGTGAATGAAATAGACTTTGTGACCCCTTGCTAGGCTACTATTGACCTTCTGACTATATGTTGGTGGAGGATCATCTGTTTCTGGCCCACAGGTGAGCATGGGACACTGTATCCATGCAAAGTGAAATCATGAATAAGGGGGTGAATACTACTGTATGTGTCTGGCTTTAGAATCACTCTTAGTTTTGAGCTGCATTTTGAATTTTAATGTAATCACAGTACCATTGAATACAGAATTAAAGAAATACTATTATTTTTTCCTTTTGGATAAAGGTTGCTTTGAGAAATAAGCCCAAATCAGACCAAATACTGGGATAATATTTTCTGGGCTCTTTTGATTAATGGCCACATGACTGCAGGCCAGTTTTTGAGACTTTTTTTCTAATTAATTAATTAATTAATTTGAGAGAGAGAGCGCAAGCCAGGCGGAGGGGCAGAGGGAGAGGATCTCAAGCTGACTCCATGCTGAGCCCAATGAGGGGTTCGTTTTCATGACCTTAAAATAATGACCTGAGCTGAAACCAAGAGTCAGACACTTAACCAACTGTGCCACCCAGGCACTCGTTTTTGAGATTTTCTGAATGGATGTTTCCTCATCTAAAAATGTATGTGTGTATGTGTGTGTGTGTGTGTGTAGTAGTAGTAGTAGTAGTAGTAGGGCAATGGATAATGTTGGTGTAATAACACAATCTTCAAAATGTTCTTGTAATTGAGATAACACCTCACACTGGGTTCTAGATCCCACCCTCCATTTTAAATATTGGCTTCTTTGCCTATAATCCTGAACAGTTTCATTTCATGTTTGCATCTCAAGAAGGCATTGTCAAAGTGCACTGAGACTGGTCTTTCCTGGCTCATTTATAATTTACAATCTCTATCAATACCGTTAGCCTCTGGCTTCTGTGCAAAAGATATGTAATTTGTGCATTAGATGAGGGGCGAAGAAATGTATCTTGGAGAGGTCAAGTTCTGTGTCATGTTCTATAAGAGAAACCCATTTTCTACCAATGTGACAAGTCAGCCATCTTTCCTCTCCTCAGGAAAGGAATCTACTAAACTGCATAGTGAGTCCTGATTACAAGTTAATCGGTTTAGCATATTTACTCCTTAATTTAATTCAAGTCAAGGGGTAGCTTCATCTTCAAGGAAGGGCTTATCTCAACACTCCTAAGCCCTTCTAGCACTCCAAAGGCCATGACTCCTGAGTTCATCTTATCAACTCAAAGTTCCTCATTCTTTGTGTTTCACTAACTGTCTAACTTTCCTGGGATAAATGGAAACGTTCCAAAAAGCTTTCATGTGCCAAACGTTTTTGAGTATTATATTTCCAGTGCATGACACACGAGTTGATAATTTCTTTTTTTTTTTTTTTTTTTTTTTTTTTTGCCTTTAGGGAAGTAAATATTGTGTCCTTAAGACACCAGGAATCAGTGAATTTGATCTTAGGAAAAAAATAAAACAAGGTTTTAGGAAAGCAGGGCTGAGCTCCAGGCTCCCCGTGGATAATCGGGGTGATGGGAAGCAAGGTCTGCCCTGGGGGCATGTGGCAGGGTTTCTGCTCAGGACTGGTGGCTGGGCATGGAAATTCATCCTAGTAGCCATTTCTAGAACTACTGATTTGCACCCCGTTTTCGCTTGCCCCTCAGGCTCCCTCATGCTCACCTAACTCCTATTTATCCTTCAAAGCTCCTCTAAGCTGTGATTAGTGAAAAGGGAGTTTCTTACCTTAGTACTTTTAATTTTTGAATTATTTTTTCAGTGCACATGAATGACCCTATTTATAGTTCAAGTAACAAGAAAAAGAATGGAAAAGAATAAAACCAACCAACCAGCCAACAAAACTTCCCCAGAACCTTCTGCTTGGTTGTCTCCTACCCTGGGAAAAGTTTTCCTGACCAGTTTCCAAATCTTCTTGCCCCAATTCCATATTTACTCCTCCCCAAATCTTTCTTTCCATCAACTCCTAGAGCCTCTCAATCATTTCCTTTTAGCCTAGGCCTTATTTTATGCTCAGCAGTGACTGTATGCTCCCTCACACATAGTTCTCACTAGATTACAGACTCTGCAAGAGGCAGACACAGAAATCACCTAGATCAAAAAAAAAAAAAAGAAAAAGAAAAAAAAGAAAAAAAAGAAAAAGAAAGAAAGAAAGAAAGAAAAAAAATCACCTAGATCCCCAACATCTATCTGAGTACCTGGCACATTGTAGGTGTCTTGAACGAGGCGTGAAAATAAAAGGAAGCGGGTGGTCCTTAGAGGGAGAGGGAAGAGGACTGCAACTGGAGAACCATGCACACTCATTTCCCACTCACAAAGCATGCGGGGAGACCCCGGCACCCCCTCTTGCCATGGTCTCCTGGGTTGCAGGGGTAAGCACGCCCCTCGGCCTGTTTTGCTTTTTGTTTCTATTTTTTTCCCTGCGCCTTTACCTGAGTGCAGTACTGCTTTTCTAGCCTCTGGCTCTCCTTCTGTTTCTGGCAGGTGAGTGACACCACAGACACGATGGTGCCGTTGTAGTTCTCTTGGGAAGACGTCCAGGACATCAAAGCGGTGGTTGAGCTTAAAACGTGGACGCTCACATGCTGGGGCTTCTCGGTCAGCTCTTCGATCCACTCTCCCAAAGGGCCTGGACATTTCAAATAAGAGCACAAGGTTCCATGCTGAGCTGGTGGAGATCACAGAGTCTAGTTTCAAAACTCAGGTTGTTTCCCTTTTTGCCCTTACACAGATCAAAGTAAGACTGGCAGCTGGGCCGGCATGGCTCTCTGGCCACTGCCCAGCTGGCCTCACCCTTGGATGATCTAACGCCAGCGGTGGCAGCAGCAACGGGAACATTCTATGGACAGACAGACAGACAGACAGAAGCTCCACTTGAGCTGTCCTGTGCCTCGGAGGTTAGCCCGGTAAATTCTCCACCAGAGAAAATTTACTTCTTTTCAAGAAGGGAGGGTGTGGAAGGGGGGGGGGGCATCGCATCAGTGTTTACAATCCCTTTGCCGTTAGGATCTTCCATCTCTAGAAATAATTACTTTGAGATTCAAATTAGCCTCTACTGCCATCCTGTGAAAAGATTTTAAATTTGGTAACAGCAGGATCAAAGAGGTGGGGTGCGATCATATTAGCGAAGAAATAGGCAGCAGGCCGACTCAATTACAGAAGCTGCCTGAGATCCGGGTGATAATTTGAGGGTCATGGTGGGTTCCTCATTATAAAGTGTCTCCGCAGAAGTGCCCACTGTTAGCTTTGTTCTCTTAAGTTGCTCAAGTGGTTATTAGCCCAGTGCCTGACACATAGGAAGGATGGAGAAGGGGTGAGGTGGTTATTATCTACAGAAGTTCCTTGTTGAAATGCACATGTGCAACCTTCCTTTATTCACTGAGGATATGCTTCTCAGTGTCTTAAGAGGGAGCAGTATTCCTGGGCTGGAACCCAGGAGGGGAAAAGGAGCAAGTGTTTCTGCTGGGGACAGCCATCTCAGGCTCACAGCAAATGGGGCCAGGGAGATCATGACAATAAAAAAATGATAATAATAATGATGGCAAAGAGACAGAGCATTCGGCATGTCGTAGGCTTTGTTTTAGGCTTACCTATGTTTCCATACTTAATCCTTTAACTTTCGTAACAGACCCATGAGATAAGTATGAGTATTAATCCCAGTTTCAGATGAGGGCGCTGGGGCAGAGATAGGGTAAGTAGAGCTGGGATTCACCCGCAGGAAGGCTGGTTCCAGAATCCATGCTCTCAACCCCTGCATGAAACCTCTGGGGACACTAGGAACCTGGGAAAAATTCTGGTTTGGAGACAGGAAAGGGGACCAAAACTCGACTTTGCTCATTATTAGTGATGTAACCTTGGGGAAATGATTTAACTTCTCTGACTCTGCCAATGTACCGGCCAGATGGATTAAATCATAGAATGTTAGAATTGAACACCTGAGAGATCCAATACTTCATTTAACTGATGAGGACACTGAGGCCCAGAAATGTGTATGACCTGTCCAATGTCACAGAGCTAGTAAGTGCTTGGGGCCCAACCCAGACTTCTGGTCTCCTAGATCAAAGTTTTGTGACAATTTATCAGGATGCCATCTATCACTGGCATCAAATGAGATCACATGTGTTAGAGAATTATGTAAATTTGAGGTATTATCATCATTGTGAGGAAGATTCGTAGGACCACAGTGAGCCATGGTTGAAGGAAGCAAAATGAATTCTCCTTCAATTTTTTTTTTTTTTAATGTTAGGACTAACCTGCTAATCAAGCCAAGATAATGGGTCGCTGCAAGCTACATGGAAATGGACTTTGCTGTCAAATATTCCTAGGTTCCAGTCCTCATTTGGGCACGGAAAGCCACTAAACTTTCTGTGACTCAGTTTTCTTTTCCCACCTGAAACATGGGGATAACTGAAATATAAAGCTGTTGGGAGGCTAAGGTAAATGTTTATCTTCCTTTGCATCTCTGAGGATAGCCTTCAAAACTGCGTAAATACAAGTCATAATGCAACGAGACAAACATAAATGTTGATGTAATTTAATAAATATTAATGTCATAGCTTAACACTGGAACAGTTTGGTCAGGAAAATGGGCTGCTAATATAATTAGCTGGCATGAGTCCGCACTATGTTGAGGGGGCTTACTCAGTTGAGTGTAGTATTTATATCTATAATATCCCATTTTAAACTAAAGGTATGTATATACAGTACACTTGAATAATTCATTATTGCAGAGGGGAATATCATAAACACTAAAAGTATCATTATTTTATTGGCAAATAAAATTAAAAAGACCAAAATTTTTAGTGCCCTATACTTTTCTAGATGAATATTAATATACATCTACTTGAAATAATCATATTTTTAGCAATTCTACAACATTCTCAACAGTACTAGTCAGTCTGGATACTCTAGAGCAGAGTGCCCAACACATGAAAGTAGTTCAGTGAATATCTGCTAAATGTATAACAGAATTAATAAAATAGTATAAATATGGGCCCTAGGCTAAGACTCTATAATTGGTATAAGAGGCAAGACATACACAAATAAAACAAATCTAGAAAACTATTATACACAAATAAGCTTTGTATTTTGTGTTGTTCCCTATGAAACTCAGTAGAAATTCAGAGAAGGGAAGGGCCAGCATGGCCAGAATAGCTGAAGGAGCTTTGCCAAGAGCTGTTGACACTTGTGGTGGACCTCTACTGACAGGGAAATCTTTTTGTTAATAAAACACTTTATGCTTCATGGGAGAGACACCTGGGTGGCTCAGCGGTTGAGCATCTGCCTTCAGCTCAGGGTGTGATCCTGGAATCCGGGATCGAGTCCCATATCGGGCTCCTTGCGGGAAGCCTGCTTCTCCCTCTGCCTGTGTCTCTGCTTCTCTCTCTCTCTCAATCTCTCTCTCTGTGTCTCTCATTAATAAATAAATAAAATCTTAAAAAAAAAACTTAATGGGGGAAACCGAATACTAAACTTTGTTCTCATTCTCTAGTGACCTCACATCAGAGATCTTCTATAACCAAAAGACATGCAAGCAATCATGACTATTCTTTTTGTATATCTAATGGATCTTTAGGCCTCTATCACCAGTAGTGATATTTTTAGGTTCTTAAGTAGAAATGCTACATAGAACGCTTTGAACATTTTTCAGTTGTTAAATAAACTGATCTCTTCCTTCTGTCCCCCTTCTCATTCTCCCACCTACCCTTTTGAGAATTATTTGGTGAAAGGTGGTATTTTGCCTTTGGAGAAGGTGATAAAGTATATGGCGATAATCTTTTTTGAAGAGCCATTTTTATCCATTGCCTTCTGGTTTTTTTTCTTTCTGCTGATGGGAGGCATATTTAACTGCTGATAAACTAGCTAACTGATGTTTGGCTTCTAAACCTCTAGTGAACATATTCAGATAAGCTGAAACCATTACAGATATGCATGATTTGTGTAGTTTTGGGAGGCTAGTTATTTGCTCTGTTAATGCCCCTCATAGAATCAGTAGAAACCATCCTAAGACTTGACAGTGGAGCTTTTAGGATGCTCTAGCCTTCTTTTCTTATGCCAAATTTATGGTGACAACCTAGGTCTTACTACACTTAAATCTATTTTTTCTTTTGAATTATCTCAGCTAATATTCTAATGAGACTTTCCCCACAGTCCAACAACATCAATTTTCTATAAGTCCTCAAACAAAAGTCATATTTCCTAAACAGTGTGTCCATGTCCTTGGAGAGTTTGTTCTGGCTATTGTGGAAGGTCAGCTTAATAAATGTTCAATTATCACAATAATAAAAAAATGCATAAGCTAAATCTCTGGGTAGGTTTGCTACTATTAAACATACATATATTTCCTCTGCTGTCTAAATCTCATGGATCTGGGCCTCTTCTGACCTTGACAATTTCTCAGGGTCTCTGAGGTTTGATGAATAATTGATGCCCGAGCATCATTAATCTCCCCAGTTCCATTGTCCTAGCTCCCCTGTAAGTGCAAAATAGTCTCTTTGGTACTTACTGATATAAAAACTGAGTGATTTTGCTGACTGACTTTTCCGAGTGTCACAAGATCCTGTGGAACTAAAGGTTGTCACGGATAACTTATATTTCCCAGGCTCCTTCAGTTCCGCAACAAATTCATGTGCTTCTTCATCCACTGTCAAATATTCAGTAAAGTTTTCTGAATATATATAAAAAAAGGAGAATATATATGAATTGAAACCCAAAAGGGCCTTGAATGTGGACAAGTCAATTAATTTTAAAAATAAGTATTTTTTATACTGTTTCCTTTTTGCCAAGTTCAATTATACATCTTCATCAAAGGTACTAGAAAAGAAACATGATCGAGTATTCACATTGTTTTTCAGGATACTTTCGAATAACCAAATTAAAATATGGCATCCAAATCAATAAAACTTAGAGATGAGTATATACTGCATATTCTTATCTAATGTCACCCAACAACATTATATGCACAGAACAGAAGGAGACTGTCAGGAGAAGATTACGATAGTTGACTTTCTCATCTGAATATAAGGAATAAAAAAATAACCAGCATTAAGTATCTTATCAGTTCTTTGTGGTAGTATTAAATATCCAGAAATGCCTTAGAATGAATTGAATTATTTCTTATTGGAAATTCTTCTGAGTAGGTTTTCTGACACTAGTAATACTTGTTCATCTGTCTTCTTCCAGATTTTACTTTCTAAAAGTAAAAATGGTTTTTACATGCTTCAAAGTCCATCTCCTGCTGCTTATTACTTCATTTGAAGTTGTTCTCAGGAGTTGGTGACTACGAGAGCCTTCAACAGAACACACCGCAGTCAGATAAAAGCATGATTGAACCTTCATGGAAATACTCATTAAAAAAAATTGTGAGTTACAGGAACCTCTTTCCCACAGAATATATTGTGGAACAGAAAAATAAAAGATTAAAAGCAGATGAAGATGGACATCTTTATACAAGTAATTCCAGGTAAATGTGAAAACTTTTGACTCAAATAATTGGAAATGACAAAGGATTTCAATTTTTTTTAAGGATTTCAATTTTATACGGTTTTTGAATATGGTTGATTGCTCTATAATCCAGTATAGAGGAATCCACAGATTTTGGTGTCTTATTCTATTAAATAAAATAAAGGCAAACAATATGTAATATATTATACTATATGGTACTAATGTCCTACCCTGAAAAAAAAAACAGCTATCATTTGAACTGCAAATATTGACAACCTGACAACTTTGCCACCCGAACTACTAGACTGGAAAGTATAAAATGAAATATGTTATTGTATAAACAAAACAAACAGCAAATAACTATAAAAACCTAACAAACAATAATTTAGATGTGATTTGTGACCCAAATTAACTAAAGGCCAGAGCCCTGGTTTTCAGAAGTTAGTGGGCTAAAATGCAAAGAATGGCTCTCAGATGCTGGATCAATGGATATGATACACAGCAGCTATGTTGAAAATACTAGTGGCTGTGCATTTTCTATTTTACTACCAGCTCCTCTTTGGGAAAACTGTGGAGTGCTGCTGGTTCCCCAGAGGCACACCCTAAGGCTAGATGAGGACACAGGGCTAATGCTCTTGGGAAAGTAGCCTTCTTGTTAGATTGTTTTGCTACATGCTTCATAAATCGTGTATTAGAAAACAGAAAACAGAAAACTTCTCTAGCATATTTTGTAATTTGTGATGGTTGGAACTTTAATTCAAAATCTTTCCAAACATAAGGTTTTCCTCAGTGGCCTGGGGCCCATGACATATTGGGTAGTGAAATGTACACAAGTTGTTAGTACTTGCAATGTAGAAACTACCCAAACCTTGAATTCTGATTCTGCCTATGCAATTTTGTTTTCTAGTCTTCATGGGCATTGCTACTCAATTAAATTCTTCCCTTTCTTTACAATTTTTCTTTAAATATTAACTGCCTGCCATCAGTCTTTTTTTTCTAAATATTTTAGTTTTCTATTTATTTTAGTTTTTATTTTCAATGTCCTTTCCTTTCCACACCATATCTTATTTTTGCTGACTTCCTATTACTTTACCTTCTCTTTCTATGTGGATATGGAAGCCATCGAAGGCGGTGGGTGGTTTGGGTGGCAACCAATTCAGTATCATTTGTACAGGAAAAAATGAGAGAGATCCTGCTGTTGATTTTTCCGTCTCACTGAGCGTACTATTATTTTCATATTCCATGGGAAGGACACTGACAAAGTCATCTTCACTTTCGGGAGTGGCAGATGCACTGCCCCACCAATAGGGCTGGGATGTAGTTTCGTAGTCACTGCTGTTGAAATCGGGCCAACCAGAAGAAATGTTGCCAGAGGGAATTTCGGGGGTTTCGTCTGTAAAATGGAAGAGTTTGTCTTTTCCCACTGTATCTTGGGATCTCATGAACGATTCCTCTGGGAAATTGCCACTCTGTTCTTCCCAGTTGTTTTTGTTCAAGTTTACAATACGAACCGAGATATTTCGAGGTGGATAAGGGGCTGTAAGAGAGGGAATTTTCAGTTTCAAGTAATTTTAATTCTGTTATAATGAATACTTAATCTATAAGTGAGTCAAATACACAAGTGGATTTACAAAGTAGAGGTCAGTTTTACTTCTACTGTATAAAGATAACCTACATCAAGAACTATTGTGGTGTCAAATACACATTTATCTAAGATTTTGTGCATAATGTGCACACATGAGCATATCACCACTCATATTTCAGATACATTAACTAATGATATACATTAACTAATGACAGTATGCTTGTCCATGTGGTAATTTAACCATGTCCAAAGCAGAGTTGTGTAAATATTCTTCAGCTTATCAAAATCGCCTTTAAAAAAAAAAACTGAGTCTCTGCCATTGGATCTTTCTTACAAAAAAGCAGCTATAGTGCACTTAGCTATCAAGATAAAAATTCTCCCTATGACATAGTTATATTTAGGAGAGTTGCATATATACCTTTAGAAACATTAGCAAAATATCAGAAATTTAGCTTCACTCCTCACCTCTCCAGAATGAAACATATAGGCACAAAATTAGTTTGTGAATTATGGAAGCAAACTTTTCTAGAGGTAGAAAATTATGAAGGCACAGTGTCTGGTCTACCTACAACAGTTTCTACCTATTCTTCAAATAGCAGCTTAAATATCACCCCTTTCATGAACTTCTAATAAAAATTAATCTTTCCTTCCTTTGTGCAGTTATATAATTTTGTACCTCCTAGGACATTTATCACAATCTGCCTTGAAGGAAGGCCATTTGTATTGTATCTCTATCATTTTTGAGGACAGGAAACAAATCTCACCAGACTTTGTCTTCATCTCTCTTATACTTTGAACAACTTCCAGGTAGAAGTCACTCAACTTATATAGTTTCCTGACTTAAATTGAATAATGAAAAATACAAATAGAATATTAGATATTGCCATGAGGTAAGTCACTTATTTAGCTGTAAAGTTTCTTTGACTTGGCTTAATTATTGAAAATCATGAAATCTTAGAATTCAGATTAGCAGAGTCTTAGGTGTGACCTATTACAATCCCCATTCCCAGTGTCCATATAAAAGGCCTCTCCAACATTCCTAATGAGTGATTTGGGCACATTAGGCATGGGTAATGTCAATTATCTTGATATTGGTGACAGGCATTTAGAATGTGTATATTATTTCCATCCATTCTTCCATCTATCTCCCATCTGTCCATCCATCCTATAACAGTGCTTCCTATTAGTGATGCTACAATAATTAAACACTACAAGTTTTAGACATACATCTGAATCCCAATATTTTCCTTTAATAATGTGATATTCTGTACACCTATCATTTTTACTGCCATATGTGAATTTTGCCAGGTTATAGAATAACTGATGTCTACTTCATCAAGTTAAGTTACTTAATTATAACCTTTGGCAGTATCATGTACTTTTTTCCCATTTAAATATTATAAATCTATGAAATCTATGATTACATTGACATATTTTAGATTTTTCTTTTAAATATTTTACTCAGTTCCTTTTACACTGATAATTTGTTTTAGAGTAGAACAAATATATATATTTATTTCTTAGCTTTGGAACAGTATTTTTCTCAGAACAATAGAAAGTATACATGCAACAAATATATGATTTAATTATTTTTTAACAAATTTAATTCTTCAGAAGACTTACCAGTTCTATGCTGTTTGGGTTCATGACTGATGCCACTGTACTCCACAAGAGTACTTTTATTAAAAGTTGCTTCAGATACCAGCTGAAAAGTAATATTACTATAGCATATTCCTGGCAGCCAGTGATTAAATACTGTTTTTCCCTTAAAGAAATCTGAGAAGAATAAAGACAATCATATTAAACTTTTGGTCTCCTAAATGCCACATACTTCTAGAAAGTTTTAAACAATTATGATTAAATAGCCATAAGATATTATTTCCTGCAACTTCTGGCATGGTCAGTAATACAAAATTGGCATAAAATTAGAGATGAAAATTCGGATCTTTAGATCCAAAATCCTGAAAAGCTTTTTCCTGCAAGAATTGGATACCATTGGAAGTAAGTTTTTATTATAGGAACATTTGGTTTATTAAATGGAGAAGATAACATATAGAAATTGTAGACATTACGTTTATGCTAGCCATTTACTTTATGATAAAAATCAAAGATATTTTGCCATTTTATGATTTAGGAAAAAGTAATTTTATAAGGCGTGCTTTTACTAGGCTTACTTGTAAAAACTGGCCTATTTTTAAAGTAGAATGGTTTATCTACACATGATGAAAGAAAGAAAGAGAAAAAAGAAAGAAAGAAAGAGAAAGAAAGAAAGAAGAAGAAAGAAGAAAGAAAAAGTAAGAAAGAAAGAAAGAAGAAAAAAAGAAAGAAAGAAGAAAGAAAGAAAAAGTAAGAAAGAAAGAAAGAAGAAAGAAAGAAAGAAAGAAGAAGAAAGAAAAAGTAAGAAAGAAAGAAAGAAAGAAAGAAAGAAGAAGAAAGAAGAAAGAAAAGTAAGAAAGAAAGAAGAAAAAAGAAAGAAAGAAAGAAAGAAAGAAAAGTAAGAAAGAAAGAAAGAAAGAAAGAAAGAAAGAAAGAAAGAAAGATTTCATTTGGAAAACATTAAAGAAAATAATAAAATTAAGATTCCAATCCAAATTAGAAATGTGGGAAAGAAACCAAAAGTACCACTTATTGAACTAAAAGCCAAAAATAAATTTAAAAATCAATTAACTTAAAATGGAGAGCAGATTGACTTTTTAAAAAACTCCTAGCTTTTGACAAAACACAAGAGACACCTAACTCTGGGAAGTGAACAAGGGGTAGTGGAAGGGGAGGTGGGTGGGGGTTTGGGGTGACTGGGTGATGGGCACTGAGGGGGGCACTTGGTGGGATGAGCACTGGGTGTTATGCTATATGTTGGCAAATTGAACTCCAATAAAAAATAATAATAATAATTCAAAAAAAAAAAAAACTCCCAGCTTTTAATTCAGCAAAAATTCCAGAGAATGCTTTCAATCATTCACACACTGGTATCTGCATGTGATCAATAAGCAAATAAAGCCCCACTTATTAATCTGCACATATCTTTTAATTGAAAATTTAAAAATGCCATAACTTGTGGAGTCTGTTTATATTTATTTGATTTTTTAAGTTACAAAAACTATAAATTCACTGCATGCATTGTAAACAATGTCTTATAAAAAAGAAATCCATGGAAGAAATGAATTTGGAAAAGTAGCAAATCAAAGTGACACTTTTCTAGATATCATGCCTTGTGTGCTTCAGTACCCATTCTCCATCTCACCAATATGTATTTCCAGTTACAACCAGTCAACTTTGATGGCCATTATCTATGCTCTCAGAGAGAAATGTTAAGGTATTGGATCCTGAGAGTATCTAAGTCCTTTCCATCCTAATTCACTCCTAATAGAGCTGAATGGCCTTCCTCCTTCCCTCCCTCTCCATCTTCTCCCCAACAGTCTACTCAGAGAAGGTGACCAGGTTCTTTCAAAATGATTGATTCCCATAGGATTCTCTTTTTCTCCTCTCCCCACAGGGTCCCTATCAAGCCAGTATAAACAATAAAACCAACTTTTGTATATTCATGCAATCATTTAGCTGGTCTACAGATACATACATCCAAAGGAACCAAAAAGCATTATCATTCCCATTTGAGGATAATCTTGGACCACCTCCAAGCAAAACTTGGTGGAAGGTACCTTTTTTGCTCCTTAGTTCTAGATATGACCTTCTAACATATTCAGGAGGAAACAGGTGAGATGCTTCTAAGTTTAGGTTCAAATTTATTTCTTGTACCAGATATGCTGCTTTGGCAAAACTAACATACAAGTATAATAATTTGACTATTTCTGTGCTTATGTATTACATGTGACTCTAGCAAACCAGATGTTCTAAGATTCCTCAAAACAAGATTTTCAGAAATAAGTAACTATTTTTAATGGTTCTTCCATGGTCAGATAGTGAATTGTAAGACCTCTTGAGACCAAGAGAGAAAACCATTTGGCAAACATAATGTAAAAAGAGTAGTCCTCATTTATCACCCCTTCCTTTTGCTTCTTACCTTTATATAGCATTGTTCGGAAGTCTTTACCTTCCCAGTAGCTTATGTTTACTCTTGTGAAAACATTATATTTTTCTGGATAATGAATTTCAAACAGGACTCCTGTTTCAGGAGAAGGTTTATAGTCATATATTGAAACACTGGTTACAGGTAGGGGTTCTGCAAAAGAGAAGTAAATGGGCAAAGGGGAGGTGGAAAAAAAGGAAGAAAGGCCATTTTCAGTGCTTGAAGTACCAAAAATTACACCTATCAGAACACTTTACACACTTTTATTATCCATGAGTGCTAAACTGCTCCATACTTATGGGTTGACTGTTCTCCACAGCAATAATTAACAAAGTACATTTATGTGGTGGGTTGTGCCTCTCAAAGAACTTTCATATTCATTTTTCCATTTGCCTCTTGCAACAACCCTGAGATCTAGGATGAACAAACATGAATATTGCCATTCAATAGATAAAAATAACCATGAGGACTCAGAGACTTCAAATTATTTGGCAGAGATAATTTAACAAATACAAATTTGGAGTCTGTATCTCCAAATTCCTAATTCGTTTTTTTTTTTTTTCCAAGCCAAGAAAATTTGATATCAATAACAGGCCAGTAACAAAAAATACATTTTGGCTCTGCCCAAGGGTAAATGTTTATGTGATCATTTATTTCTTTTTGTAAACTTAGTACTTATTTTTCTATATTAAATATAATATCGCAAACCACCTTCTGTTGTGAGAACTATAGTTTATCAAACCAGTTTTCCTACAGAAGCTTTAAAAATGTGGATTTGTATTTTGCTTGAATTGTTAATATATCACAAAACTTTTAAAATATTCATTTTTCAAAACTGCAATTTGATGTACGTCCACATCTCCTCTGTATCCCATTCTTCAACAAAATTCTTGTAAGAATGACTGAGCTCCCTCACCCTTCTGAAGGAGCTGTTGGATAAGTTTTACTTGCATTTGTTTGATGTGAGAAAATCTTTTAAATAATTTGGTTTGGAGTCAACTATTGTATTACAGACAAAAATAATTTTGATTTAAAGTTTTATCATTAGAGGATTCTCAGACATCATCTACAGCCTAAATGAAAGCAATATCCTTACTTTAAATTTTACACTTTTAAAAATTGTTTCAATACCATAGGGAGCCAAAATTTGATTTAATTTATTTGATGAGTATCAAGTATCTACTTTGTCTTAATCTGTAGGTAAATATTTTTTATTTTGCTCTCTAGGATCGCAATCTATTTCAGCTTTTGCTTTTGTTTGAAGAGATCCAGGAAGGACTGAAGCAGCATGTTAAAACTTTGATTTTTCCTGGAATTATCTTAAAAACCAAACCATCATCTATCAAAAGTCTTAAGATTACAGCATATAATGTGATTATGTCCCAGTAGCTACATACTGTATTCTCTGGTTAAATGTTTCTATTCTATCTTTGACTTGTTCTAGGTCTTCTTGCTTGAAGGTAACATTTACAGAGTGAACTCACTTGTGTCATGTAAACAAACAACTCAACCAACCTGAGAAGACTCTTGTGTATTTCTTTTTGATTAATCCTCCCCAAAAGTTTTGAACTATTTGAATGTCTTTCTTTCAACGCAGTCTAATTACTAACCCACGGAGTCTAACAAATCCACCTACTGCCTCTGGATCTAAGGGAACCAAAATGAAAGCTAACAACAAAAAAAAAAGCAGCCACAGAGCAGAGACCCTTCCATGGCTGCTGTCTAGTATCTCATCTTCACTAGGGTTCTCTCTACTGGAAAGAGAAGTGAGAGGTCTGTCCAATCTTTCCTGCCTTGGGGCCTGGCGTCTGCACATCAAAGCCATGGCCCAACTTTGAAATTCAAGAGAGATGAGGATTACAGCATAGATATTTTATTTTGTGATTTTTTTTTTTTCTGCTGCTGCAAGTGACTTAAGTTTAAACTAAGAATTTTCAAAATTCCTCCTTGGATGTTTGCTTCCTACAGTTCTCTCGGCTTCAACCTAAGTGACCTAGGTCAGCTGTAAATTCTAAAATTCAAGCCCGGGCATTACTGACCTATATTCAATCCAAGAATTACTATTTCCAATAGAATTCAAATGCATTCTCTAAAAATAATTTACTTTCTCTCCAGTGACATCCCTCATTATTTTTCTTTTTAGAAATTAAGTGATGTGCTATAAATCAGAGCTGTTATTACTCAAGTGTTTTTCAGTGATGACAAGATTTAAATCTTGACCTAATTCAATAACTGTTTCTCTGCTAGTCACCGTGTACTCTTCCATTTCTTGTCTTAGGAACCAGGCTGGACTGGATAGAGAAACAGAATTGTTAGAAAATGTGAATCATTTATTTATTACTTCTGTTTGTTTATTCCTTTTTTTGTCCTCAGGTTTTTCTATTTTCAAAAATCTAAGTATTACAAAATATATTTGAAAATCACTCATATAATTTACTCAGATCCCATTTGTCTCCCACCCTGGCCAGAGGTAAATTATTTCTCCGAATTTGATGCTTATCTTCGATGTGATTTTTACTTTTATATTTATATGTATCCAACATCCATACAGAATGCTATTTTGCATGTTTTAAAGTATGTTAATGATCTCATATTATATGAATCATATATCTGCAGCTTACTTTTACCAACTATCAGTGCTTTTCAGATTTGTTCATCTTGATGCAAGTATCTCCAGAAACTTTATTTTAGTGTTCGCTTTAGAATTATACAAACTATACAGTTTATTTGTTATTTTGTTAGCTACAATCATCCACTTTTGTTGCAATGTTGCAATAAATGTCTTGGGACATGTTTCTGTAGGGTATGCACATCTTGGATTGTATGAGATATTGTGAAAATGTGTTCTAACTTTGTCAGTTTACATTTCTATTGACAGTGTATCATGGTCCCTCTTTCTTCATATTCTTATCCAACCCTTGCTAATATCAGCCTTTTTAGTTTTTGCCACTCTGGGACCTGAAATTTTGCCTCTGTTTCAACTTCCTGTTCACAAAAGAAGTTGATTATCTATGTTTACTGGCCATTCAGCTTCTTTTTTCTTAAAATTGTTTGGTTCTTTTGTCTGTGTCTTGGGCTCTTTTTCCATATTTTCTGATAATTTGTAATGCAATTTTTGTCATATACTGCATTATCACTGTCATTTTTATTTCAATTGTGTCCCATGCCTTCCTTATGATTCACTTTCCTTATTAAAACATATCACTTAGTAGTTATTTAAGTTATGGCCTAGGAGTTAAATTCTCCTAGGATTTGTAATCTGCAAAGGTTCTTTATCTTTAGTCTTGATGTAGTTTAGGTGGATACAGAATTATACGATATCCTCTCATTACTTTGAAGCTATTGCTCAATTGTCTTCTAGAATCAATTATTGTAGAAGAGAAAACTTCTGTCAGTCTAACACTTACTTCTTTGTAGATATTATGCTTTTTTTCCCCTTTAATAACTTCTAAGCTTTTTGTTCATCCTTGATAATCTGTGGTTTCACCATCACATATCTAGATGTGATCTTATTTTTGAATTACCTTACTAGCGATTTGGACACTTGTCAATCTGTGGATACATGTCACTCTTCTTTTCTTTTCTTTTCTTTTTTTTTTTTTTAGATTTTATTTATTTATTCATGAGAGACAGAGAAAGAGAGGCAGAGACACAGGCAGAGGGAGAAGCAGGCTCCATGCAAGGAGCCCGATGTGGGACTCAATCCCAGGACACTGGGATCATGACCTGAGCTAAAGGCAGATGCTCAACCACTGAGCCACCCAGGAGCCCTCTTATTTTCATAGTCAGTTCTTGAAATATTGTGCCCATTATGCTTTCCATTCTCTTTTCCTTTTTTTAAAAAAAAGATTAAAGACTTTATTTATTTGAAAGAGAGAAGGAGTGAGATAGAGATAGAAATAGTGATAGAGAGAGAAAGAGAGAGAGAGAGAGAGCGAAAGGGAGTGCGGGGAGGGGCAGAGAGAGAAGCAGACTCCACACTGAGTAGGGAGCTCAATATGGAGCTCTGATCCCAGGACCCTGGATCATGGCCTGAGCTGAAGGCAGACGCTTAACCATCTGAGTCACTCCGTTCTTTTTTTCTGGAACCCTTAACCTCCTTAGTTAAAGCCTCTCCCACCTTCATATTTGAGAATTGTGCTAAACTATGAAGCAATCACAAAGTATTACCTTTCAATTTACTATTTAACTGTTATCAGTACAGAATTTATCCCATGAATTGAAGTTTTTTGATTGAATATAAATTTGATTAAGTGAATTTTGCCTAATCTAATCCATTAAATATTTTTTTAATTTTTAATAATAAATTTATTTTTTATTCGTGTTCAATTTGCCAACATACAGAATAACACCCAGTGCTCATCCTGTCAAGTGCTCCCCTCAGTGCCCGTCACCCATTCACCCCCACCCACCCCACCTAATCCATTAAATATTAAATTAAATGACTGTATTTTGCATTTCTAACAGATTTTAATCTGTTTATTTGATGCATTTTTGTTTAATTTCTGCCAATCTTTCTTCATTATGTTTTAATCCTTTCAAATGGATGGAATTCTTATATTTATCTTTTTGAACATCATAACATACTGTACATTTTTTTCAAATTGCTACACAAAACATAATCTGCAATGTCATAGTTGTTGTTTAGATGTCTATTTTTTAAAAATAGATTTCTTCTTGTGTTTTGATATACAGGCCCTATGCTAATTTTAGGATTTTTTATTGCCCTGTTTCTTGCTAATTATTCTTGTTGTTGAGGCAATTTAGCTATTGCTTCCATTCAGCACACTGAAGCTCCCAGTTTAGAACCAGGACATTTAATATTATTCTGAGGTTCTTGGTATTGTGGACAATATAGCCAGCTATCAGAAATTCATTCCTTGAGCCAGAGGGTAACTAAATTTGGTCCTTGATAGTAAGACTGAATGCATGTTTCCTGCATCCCAAGGCCTCCATCTATAATGTTATCACAAGCAGAAAGAATCTCTGCTGTAAGCGGGAGGGCTGGCTCTATGCATTACCTGGTATGGGGCATTTCAATCCTTCTCTGTTGGGGTACAAGATCAAGGCTGTGTTCATCCAGATGCAGAGAACAGAGGCCCCAGAACTTCAGCCTATCTCCCCACTTGGAGTTTCTGTTTTGTTTCTGATTC